CTCAACCTCCCCCCCCCCCAGGATTGTTGGGCCAATTTGGATAATGAGGGTATGAAGAGCCACTGAACCAAACTGACACCTGCATAGAATAGGAACCACTTGAAGCCAGGGGGTGCTGCAGCACCCATCCCCCTCTCCCCCAGCACTCCAAGGTCTAGCAACTATGCCCCCCCCCCACCAGCCAGGAAAGGCAGCAGCCCTTGTTAGGTGCCCCCCAACCCTGCCAGGCTCTCGCAGGGGCTATGGCGAGCTGTTGCATCAGAGCTGTCCACCCAGCAGCAGGCCATGCCGCCCCCCCACATTCCAACATAGCTCGCACCCACAAGGTGCCTTCAGCCCATGGCTTTGGGATAAAGCTGCTTCCAGCCGCCAGATTCCAACCCTGTCCCTGCCCAGGGGGCTTGTGTCGCACCACGGCATATCCCTTAGCAATAAGCTGCTTAGACACACAGGGCCTGGGTTTATAGGAACATCCCCACCTGAGCCCTTGCCAGCAGGACGGTTTTTCATTGTCGCCCCGGCCCCGACTGCAACTTGGACCTTACGATTTGCTAACAGCACTAGTGGCTTTGGGTCATTTTTAGGAAAGCAAATTTAGGAACCAAGGAGCAGCTCCTCAGCTGGCGTGAATTAGCCTTGCCAGGCACTGATGCCAACAAAGCACAGGGATTGACACCAGTGGAGTAGCCTGCCCAAAGCTAGACTCCCCTTTGGTTTCATGCAGGGATTTGTGTTGCCCAATGGGAAATAAAGAGATATATGGCCATCTACATAGCACACAAAGTATCCTTTCTTAGCCCCTTCTGCCTCTCATTACGGAGACAATCCCCTTTTGTCTTAAAATATTTTAAAGTGATTAATAACACTTTTCTCACTGCAATTTAAGAACAAACAAAAAAATCATGTCAGCATAATCAAAGCGGACATTGAGTGACTGATGGAAATTCAATCGCTTTAACTTTGGCTTTCATGATTACCTTTCAGGGGGCCATGCACAAGAAAGCACGAGGGCCCTGCGATTATCATGTTAAAAGCTGGGCTGTGCCTGCCAATAATTAGATTTCTATATGCATTGCCCTTTCCATATTTTCAATGCGCAACATGGGGAGCTGCTCTTTTGCGGGTTAGAGAGACTGAGGGTCTTTTCTGCAGCTCTTAAGCGTGGAATTAGGATTTTACACTAGGATTACCACAATGTGCCTGGACTCTGTTGGGTGGCACAAGCTGATGTGCTTGGCATTGTTTCCTCCTCTCAATAAGACAGGGCCCATGGTCACGAAGCTTCCTAGGCCATCTGTTACCTTGTGGCTAACAGAGCATTTTCCTCAGCTGCATGTAGAGAGATATGGGGCCTTCGTGCTTCTGCCACAAGCTTTTTTCTTCTGCATGAGGAAATGTGATAATAAAAGGCTTCCAGAAATCAAGGAACGCAGGTCAAAACTTTCACTTTTAAAATGTCTAAAAACAAGACTCCTAAATCCTTCTTTAGACCCCTAAGTAAGAAAACACAAAAACAAAAACCAAGGAGTCCAGTGACACCTTAAAGGCTAACAAATGTTTTAGGGCATAAGCAAAGATGAGTTGCAGCGCTGTACTGAGCATTCCACTATTTTGATCATGTATTTAGAACCCTAACTTTCTTCACTCATTTGAAATCCTTGGGCTTAGCTTTCAGCTTTGTGAGGCTCTGAATAATACTCTTCACCTAAAGAAAGCTTTATGCCTAAAATGTACGTGACAGTGGATCTAACAGTTGGTGCAACCCTGTGGTCCTTGCATATTGTAGATCTATAGTTTACTTTAGTATATTGCATGAAAATATTTCTAAAAAATAAGAGGCAAAAAAACCTCCCCTGGCATTGTAGAATAAGATCTCGTGTGAACGATTGTGTTATAATGATGACCAAGCTTCTGTGAACCCATTGTTTCAGGCATTTAAGAAGAGAGCTGCTGAATATATATGACCTGACCCCATCCCGAATAAAAAGCAACATGCAAATAGTCTTTTAAAAGGTCTGATTGTAGCACAATATAAGAGTTAAGATCCTGGAGCTCCCCTCCTTTGTGCTTGTTAGTCAGGGTGGGGACATGGAAAGGAGAGGATTTGGGAGGAAACTGACATTATGATGAAGTGGCCCCGTAGGAGGATTTATTTAGTCACAAAGGACTCCACACCCAAAACAAAAAGCAACATGCAAATAGTCTTTTAAAAGGTCTGATTGTAGCACAATATAAGAGTTAAGATCCTGGAGCTCCCCTCCTTTGTGCTTGTTAGTCAGGGTGGGGACATGGAAAGGAGAGGATTTGGGAGGAAACTGACATTATGATGAAGTGGCCCCGTAGGAGGATTTATTTAGTCACAAAGGACTCCACACCCAAAACAGCCCATCAGGAGAAAGCATTTAGCCACTTGATCTCTGAAC